GGACTCTTTGGTGTTTATCTATTTCACATTGCACTTGTGAGATCAGATTCAGAACCAGAGGAGTCCAATACTGTAAGGCTTATTCGTCTTCCGAAAGGGGGTACGGAAAGTTAAGCTACAGCTACCAAGCCAGGCCACAGGCCACGCCCATGCCTGGATGCACGCTGGGCATATGTCGTTGCTTGGCTTATGGCATTAAAACTCTACAGACAAGTATGGGATGTGTCGAGTGGCGGCCCGTAGTGGTGGCGGTAGCACGGTTGCCTTCGCCGACAGCGCGGCAAAGGCCGTAGCCTATTGATAAATTTTATCAAGCCACTCTTATTTTTATGAATAGATTTATAGTAATAAATTTGTTAGTCAACCTATAGACTGATTGGTAAGTCGGCATGAAGAAATGACAAGTTTGTAATGTGTTTTTTTTTTTTTTTTTTTTTTTTTTTTTTGGTGTAAAATGCTGATCGGGGTTGATCCCCGGCATGAAGAAATGACAAGTTTGTAAAATATTTTTTTGTTTTTTTTTTTTTTTTTTTTTTTGGGAGTGTTGTGTTGAAAAAAATAAAAATAAAATGAAAGAAAACAAGGGAGAAAGAAAATAGATAAAAAAATATGTATAGGTGGATTATATGAAAAATATCAGGGTGATTATTTCAAAAATAAAGTGGGGGTATGTAAAAAGGAGGAAAAGTGATTTGGAAAAAATAAATAAAAAATAAGTGATTTTAAAATCAAATGGAGGAGAGTTTGAGTAATAGAATATAATAAAAAGAGATATATATATATATATATAAAGTAAAGAAGGTGGGGAACAACATGATAAGGGTGTATTTTAAAATGATAAATAAAAGAAAGTTGAAGACAACATGATACCAGTGTGTATGGATGTGATAATGAGAGTGAAACAAACTTGGTGAGTGTGATTAAATAAATAAAAGAAGAATGGGTGTGCTTTCCTTAGTGCTCCTCTCTCTGCCTTCAAAGTCAAGATTGGTCTCTCCAAACGAAGGCTCAACATTCAAATCATTGTAGTCCTCTGAAAAGGTTCTAACCATGTGCCACAAAATTGGCCCCACCATTATTTGCCTGATAGATAGATGGCTGGAAGCCCTTGACAACACCAGCACCACATATGGACAAATGCATACACACACAATCACAGCGCTGGCACCACCGATGAGTATGGTGGATAGCCTCCTGTGGGCCATCTCTAACACCTCATCATCTCTATAACCAGATACTGATATTAAACAGAATGTTAATATAAATATCAGCAGCCCATAATCGTATCTTGCTTTCATTCTTGGAAAAAATCTTATGAATGTCACTACTGCAACTAGTATGAAGACGAAAAACCCAAGTAGTATGGGCTCACATATTTCTCCAGAAAAACTAGCAATTTGATGAGCTCCAACGCCAAGAGTACCAGCAAGCAGTGTTGCAAAACCCCTATTTACACCCCTTCCAAGTGTTGCACCCACAGAGAAGTCAAAGACAACAACAATAGTAAGAACAGCCCACATTGCAGAGACACCAAAACCATCATAGAGAGGGTCACAGTAGTAGAACTAAAAGGTTGAGAAGGTGGTTGATCTTTGTATGTAGAGAAGTCGCCTCTGGTGGCGGCGAACTGGAAGCTATATGTATTGATAGAGATGACAGCGGAATAGGTTGAGGTCCGGCGGGCGGCTAAGGTGAGGTTGCCGCCCGCCGGAGAAGCGAAAATACTAGGTTCTAAACCTGCTCTGATACCATGTAGAAAAATTTAATGTATAAAGAGAAATAGAGAATTGTATAGATATTGATTGTATTATTGATTGTTGTATTTTGTGTTTACAATGAGTCCTATATATAGAAGATTTAAAGGAGGTAGGTATGTAGTAGGTGGAGTAGTAGGTGGAGAGGAGGTGGTAGTGGTGTAGTGGGTTAGGTTTAGTGGAGTAGGTGAGGTGGTAGTGGTGTAGTGGGTTAGGTTTAGTGGAGTAGGTGAGGTGGTAGTGGTGTAGTGGGTTAGGTTAGATGAAGTAGGTAAAGTGGAGGTGGTAGTGGTGTAGTGGGTTAGGTTTAGTGGAGTAGGTGAGGTGGTAGTGGTGTAGTGGGTTAGGTTAGGTGGTAGTAGGTGGTAGATGAAGTAGGTAAAGTGGAGGTGGTAGTGGTGTAGTGGGTTAGGTTTAGTGGAGTAAGTGAGGGGGTAGTGGTGTAGTGGGTTAGGTTTAGTGGGTGAAGTAGGTGATAGGTTTTAACAGTCAGGTTGTGAGTGGTATATATATTTATTTATATATACTTTTTTGTTTAGTGGAATCCATCTACGGGTGTTAGTTGAAGTGGGGCCCGATATTTTTTTTTTTGGGCAGAGTTACCAGCTGCAAATACGTCTTCTATCACGTGGGATGGTAATTGGTTTGTGAATTATTTTAAGTGGGTGTCAGCTGGAAAATGTAGCTTTTGGAGGCAACAAGTTGAGGTATTATTTTGTTAATACGTAGCTATCCTACTTTTATATTTCTATTTATATAAATATATATTGTGGCGATTTGGGTCAAAAAAAAAAAAAAGGACGACGAACTGCACACCAAACTCTTTTTATTCATATCAGGGGCTCAACCCCGATCACAATTTTACAACCACAAAAACAAAAACAAAAAAAAAAAAAAAAAACCACAAAACAGTATATCTGGGCGAGTGCAGTTTATCAAGTACATTAAGCTTCCAATAATTTGGGCATACTCTAATTAAGAAATACTTTCTTGTACATTCTTAGAAGAAACAAATTAACATCCACAGGTGTTCTAGCAAGATGATCATCATCTTTGCTGAATTTGTCAAATATTTTCTCAATGTAATGAGATTGTGACAAAACATAACCTTCTGATGTTTTGGTAATTTTCATACCAAGGGTTGGTTTGGGGTGTCCTAAAAAAGTGCACTTTTTGTCTTTTTACGAAAAGATGTGCAGAAAAGTAGAGAGGTGATGTGATGGAAAAAAGATAAAAAGATGGATTATACAGTAGATGCCAAACAAGGCTCAAGTATTACATTAGCAATCCCCATGTCCTTCATGTCAAAATATTTATTCAACATTTTATTGATAATTTTAGCCATGTCATTATTACTACCTATGATGAGCATATCATCCACATAAAGACATACTATAACATAATACTTGTTTGTGTTTTTAATATAAACACATTTGTCACATTCATTAATTTTAAATCCATTTGACATCATTGCCTTGTCAAATTTCTCATGCCATTGCTTTGGCGCTTGTTTTAAACCATATAATGATTTAACCAATTTACACACTTTCTTTTATTTTCCTGGAACAGAAAATCCTTCTAATTATTTCATGTAAATTTCTTCATTTAACTCACCATTTAAAAAAACTGCTTTCAAATCCATTTGATGAATTTCTAGATTGTACAAAGATGCAATGGCAATTAGCATTCTAATGGATGCTATTCTAGTAACTGGTGAGTATGTGTCAAAGTAATCAAGACCTTCTTTTTGTCTAAATCCTTTGACTACAAGTCTTGCCTTGTATTTGTCAATTGATCCATCCTCAATTTTCTTTTAAAAATCCACTTGTATCCAAGAGGTTTACAACTTGGTGGCAGATCCACCAATTTCCAAGTGTGATTTTGCAAGATTAATTCAACTTCACTGTTTACAGCTTCTTTTCATAAAAGAGCCTCAGGACTGAACATAGTTTCTTTAAAAGTTAAAAGCTAATTTTCTAACAAAAAAGTTAGAAAATTTGGACCAAAAGATTTTGAGGTTCTAGCATGTTTACTACACTTAGATTTCTCTTCCTCATTTTAATCCATCTCTTTCTTTTGTTCTTGATCTTGTTCTTGTTCTTGATCATGACTAGTAATAGCATCATAAGATCTTCTATTAGTACTAGTCTCTTAACCAGTTTTTTTTGGAAACACATGTTCAAAGAAAGACGCATTCCAAGATTCAATAATAGTATTTACATGCATTTCGGAATATTCTGACTTATGAATCAAAAATCGATATGCACTACTATTCATGGCATAACCAATGAAAACGCAATCAATAGTTTTAAGACCTATCTTAGTCTTTTTAGGATTAGGAATAGCCACTTTAACCAAACACTCCCTACACTTTTAAGTATTTATAGGATGGTACTCTCTCATACCACATTTCATAAGGTGTTTGATTCACTTTCTTTCGGGGTACTTTATTAAGTATATAATTAGCAGAAAGTATTGCTTCTCCCCACAAGTTCTGAGGTAATCCAGAACTTATTAACATGGCATTCATCATTTCTTTTAAAGTCCTATTTTTCCTTTCAGCAATTCCATTTTGCTGAGCTGAATAAGGAGCGGTGGTTTGATGAAGTATTCCATGTTCTTTACAAAACTCACCAAACGGTGATTCATATTCACCACCTCTATCACTTTTAAGTTTTTTAATTTCCTTACCAAGTTGATTTTCAACTTCATTCTTATATTGAATGGAAGTTTCCAAAGCTTCATCATTGGTTCGAATTAAATAAACATAACTATATCTAGTATAGTCATCTATAAAAGTGATAAAATATTTTTTCTCACCTCTAGTTTGAATTGATTTAAAATCACAAATGTCACTATGAATTAATTCAAGTGGCCCCGTATTTCGTTCAATTGAATGAAAAGGAATTTTTGATAATTTTGCCTCAACACAAATTTTACATTTATGATTTGAATCAATTTCAAATTCAGGTAAACATTCCATATTAATTAATCTACGCAAAGATCCATAATTAACATGTCCTAGTTTACCATGCCATAAATTTGAAGACTCAAGCAAGTAAGAAGAACATGTATCTTTATTAATAACAGAGGGTACAACAGTCATTACATTCATTTTGAAAAGGCCATCAGACTGTAACCTTTTCCTACATACATTCCGTTTTTGGTAAGTACAAATTTGTCACTTTCAAAACTAACCTAAACCCATTTTTACTCAACAAAGATCTATAGACTAGATTCTTGCGAATATCCGGAACATGCAGCACATTGTTGAAAGTAAGTTCCTTTCCAGATGTCATCTTCAGAATAATCTTTCATTATCCTTCAACTTTAGAAATGGAGGAGTTGCCCATAAAAAGTTGTTCACCGTTGTCCACTACAGAATAAGATATGAACATCTCTTTGTTGGCACAAATGTAGCGAGTAGCTCCAGTGTCCACACACCATTCTTTAGGATTTCCGACAAGGTTTACCTCGGAAACAACTGCAAAGATTTATATCATCTACACCATTGAAAATTTTGTCCACTTCGGTTATATTGGCTTGAGCAAGCTTCTTGCTTGATCTTCCTTTGCGTTTGCGTTTGCTACGGCAATCTTTAGCCTGATGTCCCTCTTTGCCACAGATGTAACATTTGTCATTGAACTTGTACTTTTTAGTTTTCCCTCCTTTAGCGCCTTGTGCGGAACTTTCTCCAGAAAACTTTCGTTTCTTTGCTTTTGGAGCATGTTCCACCACATTTGCCTCAGATTTCATTGGATGCTTACCAGCCCGCTTCTCAGAATTGTGGTTGTCCTCCTCAATCCTCAAACGCACCATCAATTCTTCCAAAATCATTTCTTTGCGCTTGTGTTTGGGGTAGTTCTTGAATTCCTTTCAGCCTTGTAGCAATTTTTCAATTAAGGCAGCAACTTAGGATTCATGGAGAGACATGCCTTCTATATGAATGTCATGCAGAATGAGTTGGAGATCTTAAACTTGGCTGATCACAGTCTTAGAACAACCATCACAAAGTCCAAAAATTTACCTACTACAAATTTCTTCGAACCAGCATCCTCTGTTTTGTACTTTTTCTCCAAAGACTCCCAAAGTTCCTTTGTCGTTTTGATAGGACTGTAGACGTTGTATAATGTGTTGTCAAGTCCGTTCAAGATGTAATTCCGATAAAGGAAATCAGCATGTTTCCAGCCATCGACCGCAGCAACCACTTGCCGGTCAGTTTCATCCTCGTTCAGAGTAGGAGCATCCTCACGGAGGAAACGCGCCAGGTTGAGAGTAGTAAGATAAAACAGCATTTTCTGTTGTCATCTTTTAAAATCAATTCCTAAGAACTTCTTTGACTTCTCACCGTGATTGACTGGCACAATCACAACAGGAGGAGGGGTTGGAGCAATTGCAGCCATCACATCAATACTTGTTTGAGTATTAGTTTTAGTAGCCATGAATTCTAAATTATAAAACAAAATTAGAATTAGAATTTTATACTACACAGAAAATTAAACCATAAACACAAAATTTAATTCTGTAAAAATAAAAGAAACAAGAATTGTAACTTTTATTTCCAATTAATTTGAAAATAAAATAAAATTTTATTTAAACAGATTAATTTCACACAGAAAATTAAATTTCTGTAACACTTCAAACATTAAAATACTGAAATAAAATTTTAATTAATGAATACTCATAAATTATTTCTAAAAATCAAAATTAATTTCTAACCAATTTCACAAATAAATATTCTGAATTGTTAATGACTATCAGTATATTACTACTAGTTGTCAAACAAAATAAACAGTATATTACTACTATTTGTCAAACAGTATATTACTATTATTTATTTTTTCATCCAGAATATTATTTTGTAAAATCACAGAAAATAATTTCTATAAGAAGAAGAAAAGAAGAAAATGAAACAAACGAAAAATTCTGTATAAACAGAATAATTCGATTCTGTCTTAAGATCGTTGGAACAATCTTCTGTGCAAAATATATAAGTTGAAACCAAATCAAACAAATAAAATAAATTACTTACAAAATTTATTTACCAAACCGAATAAATAATTAAAAAGATCAAGTCGAGTGTGTGATACTTTATCCTTAAGACAGATTTGCCCCGTTCTGGTGCTTACGGATAAATGGCATCTATCTCCCAGGATACAATGATCTTTACACAAATTGTAGTAGCACTCCAAACAATTTGTACAGCGAACTAGAACATGTGTTCTATACTCCCTGATTTTTTTTTCTAAAAACTAATATGAAGAACAATACAAAAAAGAGCAAAAATGAGAAGAGCATATGAATTTTTCTCGATTTCAAGATGTCCCAAAACTGTTGGAATTATTCTGAATTTATAGGTAATTTGGAACCTGTGGGGCAGATCCAAACAGGTGCAAATAGAAGACAACAAGTGCAGAATTCAAATAAATAGATTTGAATTCAAACAGAACAGGTGCAACACTGTTTTGAACAAATAACTGCTGGGCAATTTTAATCTGTTGGAAACTGCTAGTAGCTTTAAACCTGTCTGGGAAGAACTGAACTTGTTCGGTGCAAAACAGGTTGAAAATTGTTTGGACTGGTTTTGGAAAAGACACAGATTGGGAGCAAAAAATTTGAATTCAAATTGGAGCAAAATTCAAATTTTTCTTGCAAGAAATTTTGAAAAAATTCAAATAAATTATAGTTAGGACCGACTCGACCCACAACCCACACTCGTGCCCGGGCCGGCTCGGACGGACGGACGGACGGCGCGCGCACGTGTGGTGGTTTGAGCCAAAGTTCAATTTATCCATAACTCCTCCCTTCTATAAACTTGGGGTGCCCCTTGGGATCCAACCCAAGTGTTGTCACCTAGAACTTATATATACACATAAGTTCTTGTTAGAATTTACCATCACCTACCACCAATTTATCATCACCTACCACCACCTACTCCTCACCTACTACACTCACCCTCTCCTATATAATGAGCCACTCACCATTTGTAATATATACAACAATCAATATATCAATCAATAATACATTTCTTTATTTCTTTTTATACATTCATTTTTTTTATATGGTATCAGAGCAGGTTTAAAATCTAAAAATTCTGCTTCACCGGCGGGCGGCAGCCTCGCCTTGGCCGTCCGCCGGACCTCTACACATACCTTGAAATTCTTCTTCACCACTTCGCCGGAACAACCCCAAAACCCCTCGTGGAACACCAGTGTCTGCTACAGTCCCTTCAAGCCTTAGCCAAACCACAAGAGGAGGAGGAGAGCTGTAGCCGCCCAGGCTTCGGCCTTTCCCATTCGATGGGGAAATCAAGAGGAGACCGGCGAGTCATCTTCTCTTCTTCGGGCGCCATACACACGACCTGCGACCTCCGAAGACTACACGTTATTTCCAATCGCCGCCGTCGGAGAGCGAGAGCCGGAGACAATGGCCTTCGGGAATGGCTGAGCGGCGGAGAGGTGGTGGTTAACGACGAAGGAACCGCCAGTGCCGCCGTGGACGGCGGTGATGAGGATAGAGACAGAAACTCCATTACAGGCTGCTTCTTTCTCTCTCTCCCTCTCTTCCATGCCATCGTCTCTCCCTCCCATCCGAATCTCAAACAGTGCCCCTGTCGACCCCACTGTCATGACCTCCGCTGGCCCCACACTCGATCCCTCTAAGCTCCAGGTCTCTATTGAGTATGGATTGCGTGAGATGGATATGGGTTCTCCTCAATCAATTATTTTCTTTCCCACAAATTTTTTTAATATTTCCACCCACTTGGCCATCACTCACAGATGCACATTGATTTCTCACTTTAAACTGTCTTTTTTCCTTTCTTTTTATTTTACTATTTCAATCCCCTACTTTTTTGTCTTTCCAATCACGCCAGTGTCTGCCTCCACTCAAGCACACCCCACTTTCTCTTCTTATTCTTATTATTATTATACAAAACCAACACCGACAGTCCACTTTCTCTTCTTATTTTATTATTTACTATTTCAATCCACTACCTTTTTGTCTATTTGTTTTTTATTTTTTTATATCCCCTTTATTCGCTCACCGATTCCCACGCCTTCTGATATTTCCACTCTTTCTTTTATTTCCTTTCCCAAACAAAAAAAATAAATTAATTAATTAATTAAAAAAAAACAAAAAAAAAACAACACAGAGGAAGAAGACGAACTTATTTTATTCATGTCGGGGCTCACCCCGATCACCATTTTACACCACACAAAAAAAAAAACCAAACCAACACAAATCGGCACAGTGGGATTTTTCTTCTCTACTCTCAAAAACAAAAACAAAAAAAAAAAAAACCAAACCAACACAAATCGGCACAGTGGGATTTTTCTTCTCTACTCTGCTATAGGTCTCTTCTTCTTGCCTCCATCCTGGACGGCCCTTGCCGGTGTTGCCTCCGTATTTCCCACTCCACTGGGCATGATCACTACTCGCTGCTCCTCCACTGCAGCATATGGCGGACCTCCAAACCGGAACATCACGGTGGCCTTCCGTTTCAGCTCCTTATTTTCCGCCTTTAGCACACTTATCTCTGCTCGCGCATCCTTATACATGCGTTGGAGCAGAGCCAGCTGGGAGTTTAACTGCTGCACCTCATTTGCCCTACTCTGCAGCCGGTTCGACAAGTTTGTAACCGCAGTCAGTTTGTAACCGCAGTCATGGTTTCCACACATGACTTCAATGTATACTGATTGGCTTCCACATCCGACTGCACTGCCATTCTTTGCTCCACAGACCGCATCGGAAAGTTCAACGGAGCAAACTCCGGGGCGCTTGGTTGAGGTTCCAGTGCCACCGCACCAGTTCTCTCTCTTGTTGACTCGTTGAGGTCGGGAAAAGAGGGTGAGCAGTCCACGGGAAAGACGAGGCCATTTTTCTGGGCAACAAAGTGTTACAGACTATCTCTCTCAGCCAAGGGAACTCTCTTTCTCAGCAACACGAAGGATTTTTCAGAGGTTTCTCTCAGTTTTTCTCTGCCTCAGCCTCTGCCTTCGTCTTGGTTATATAGCCAAGGCAGCCACGCGTAATCATGCGCCGCTCGGCGCTAGACGACAACTGGGCGCGCAAGCCAAGTCACGCGTCTCGCCATCATGTCCGGTACACCTTTTGATAAAATGGACACGCCTTTTGATGGACGCCTTTTTGACAAATTGGGCACACCGTTTTGAGGGTGCGACTTTTTAAGGATCCGACACAAGGAAGCACGGGTGCGGGTACGAGTACGGTACGGGTACGAGTTGCGGGTACGCCGATTCGCAAAACCAAAAAAGTACGATTGGGTACGGCTACGGTACCGATATTTTTTTTTTTTTTTTAAAATAATTTTTGATTAAAGGATCCAACCTACAAATAAAATTAAATATCAAAACTAAAAAAAGAACTACTCATTTCCTATAATTTAAAACCATTAAGCGTTAAAAATATATTTGTGAAATCTCTCACTTTGATATGTTATGCACTGTGAAATTTGTGATCATATTTATTTTTAAAATCTTTCTTTTTGCTCATCAATTTGCTATTTTTATAGGGTGAGACCAAAGAAATAACAGGAGACCAAAAGAAAGATTTTAAAGTATATTACCAACAATAAAGGAAAAAAATTCTCAATTGGTGCAGGTTGTCAATTGCAATTTGCATAATACATAAAATTGCATCATTCCCAACAACTACTAATCAACTAATACAGTATCAATTTTTAATGTTTTGTGCATAAACTTTAAAAATTTGTTATGATTAAAGATTTTATAAAGAAATTCTAGGAGGATCTAAAGCAAAGCATAATGCATAGTCATACACAGAACTACCCTTTATAGGCCTTGTTTATTTTTTTTTGTTCAAATGCTTTTTAAAAACATTAAAATCATTTGTTGATATGCTTCTACAATTTATACAGACAAACAGGACAACAGAGAAACATCAAAATTACTGATCTGCAAGGGCACCAAAAAAAAAATTAAAAAAATATAATAATGCTTAATTTGCAAAAAAAAAAAAAAAAAAAAAATTGGCCTTGCGTACCCACGCCGTACCCATGGCGTACCGTGGCGTACCCATGCCGTACCTGGCGTACCCATGCCGTACCTGAATAAGCCAAACGTACCGGACCCTCTTTTGCCGTACCCCGGTACGCGTACCGCCGTACCGGTACGCGTACCCGCACCCGTAAGTACCCGGTA